TAGCAGAATTTCCCATTTATCTTTAGGAGAAAGAGTAAGTTATTCAATGTTAATCTGATTTAGATCTCACCACCACTCATATAAGTCAGGGACAGTTGATTGGTTCAGTCAACCAATCAGCTTTACACTGATAAACTGAGAAAGGAATTTGGTCCTAGAAATGATGTTTCAGTTCCCAGTTACAGATCTGAAGTCTCCCCTGAAAGTAAGATATATGTTTGAAGACTTATTCCCCCTGTACACTTTTGTAACTTCTTTGAATTTATCAGTAACTACCTTTTATTACTTGTGAGCATTATCATGTTTGGATGGTAGGGTAGTTCATTTTCTTGAAGCCAACAGGCTCAGTCCCTTGCAGTACAGGGAACTATGATTGCAAAAGGATAAAAGACTTCTTCCCTTAGAGTAATCTTCTTTTTACTTAAAAGAAGTCTAACACAATAAAGGGACAGCAAGCTTAATCAATACACTACTGAAAACATCTTTCAAAATCCTTTAGCTTTTATTATTTTTTTTTCTAATTTCTAATACTGTTCAAACCATCTGCTTCATGTAATTCAAGTAATAAATTCAAGTAATCAAATAATTTGAAATTATTTTGGGGGGAGGATTAAGATTACTATTTGACAGAACATTATATTACAGTCTAAATCTGTTAGGATTTTATTTTTGCTAGATCTTTGGTTGTGCAATAATTGGAATCTGTTTTCATGGAATGACAGATTTTGAATTTCTTCTTGGAATTTGATACTAAAAACTACTGGAATACATGTCACAAAATCATATTGTCCAATTACATTTTTTTATTGATAGAGATGAAGGTATTCTGTGATTAGTTTTGTGTGTGTGTGCGTTTGTTTAATTTTCATGTTGAGACACTGTGCCAGGACCAGTGAACTTTCTACTTTCCTCATGAGAAAGAAAACATTTAAAGACAGCATTACAGTGAGAAAGAAAGGGGGAGCTGTGGAAGAGCCCTCTAGAATCTTGGGTAGTTTTTTTCTTTTGACACATATGCTAGGGTTATAGCTGAAAGTCAGGAAAGTGGCTGAGGCTTCTCTCCATGCTCCAGAATACTCCAGTTGATGGAACAGCTTTTCTAGGTGATAGACATGCAATTTTGTGATGGGAAGAAGCCATGCAGCCAGATGGTTCTGGGCATATGTGTTTATGAGAAAGCTGCTTTAAGTCACTTTACCTCCTTTGGAGCTGTGCAGAGCACAGCTTAGATTCAGGCAGCTGTGTTTTCAGTGTCATCTTCCTTTCATGTTCTGTGGATTGCATCTCTCTTCTCTTTGCTTTAGTTCTTTCCTATTCAATATAAAGGCAAAGCCATGGTAAATATTCCTGCCCTGGAGAATTACAGTGAATGAGAATATATCTTCTCTCCTTTTGCAAGCTACTTAAGATTTAGATATGGGTCTCCAGCAGGAAAAAATGATTCTATTGCTGCTTGTTCCATCCTTATAACAGACGACCAGGGTATGGATGGATCTTTTGACTCCTATTTTAATATTCTGTGGAGTGTACTTGATGCTGATATGTGTAAGCCTTTCCTTTTTTGAAGGTGAAGGACTATCCATGAAAGGTACTGCAAGATGGGCTGCTAATTTGGAAATGAAACTGGTGGTGTCCTTAGTTTAAAAGCAAAGTCTGGTATGACAGCACTTATTATAGAGATCTGTAAAGCAAGAATGGCTTGGAGAGAGTGGAGCAGGAAGCAGTAGTTCACTGTCTCTTCTAGAGGCAAAACTAGGGAGCAGCGGATGAAACCGACTGGCAGATGGTTGGAACAAAGGCATCTTCACACAATAGATCACTGAAGTGTGAAATGCTTTTTTATGAAGTATTGCAAATGCTCAACATTTTTTATAGGTTCAGAAAGTGACTGGTCAAATTCATGGAAGATAACTACTAAGTTCAAAGATATTAATTTGCTCACGATTCCTTGTGCCGTGAAGTCCTGGATGCTGGGAGAGCATACTGGGGAAGTATTGCTGTGTGCTTGCCCTGTTTTTTACTCTTTCTAAGTATCTGCTACTGGTTGTTGCTGAAAACAATATGCTGATAAATGAGGACTTTTGATGGGACTTAGTAGCTTTATGCTTTTGTGCCTGTAAAAACTGCACTCAGATTTTGAATTGCAATGTAGATTTACTATCAGAAACATGTTTAGATGCGTACTGTCACTTAGGACTGCTTTTTCTGTAGTATACATTAGGTAAAATTCCCATTTTGAGGAAATGTGTGTGGTCTAAATAGAGCTTTAATGAAGCAATGAAAAAATGTACAGTTGAATTTTGTGGTACCAGGACTATACTCTTATGTTGTGTTTATCTTTGTATTTTCTTATTTCATGGTAAATGTTATGATTATTTTTATTTTCCTTAATATAAAAAACATGTTAGATTGGAAGATAATGAATTTTTAACCATGTATTAACATTTTTAACCATATGAATTTTTACCTGTGTATTGTTAGCTAAAAAACAAAATGTTAGGACAGAAGCATTTCACCCCTTTGTAGTCTCTGTGAATGTAAAAAGTAAATGTAAAATTTGATGTCTAATAGTAGAGTGGTTAACAGGATTATTGCGAATAAAGCATAAATCCTCAAGTGTTCCACCCATTTTATTTTGCTGTGTAATGATTCTGAAAACAACTCTCGGAAGAAACAAGACATGCAGTGTTTTCTAGCACCACTTAGAGTGTACATGTATATTTGTTGTTATTTATTTACCTCGTCCTACTTTTGTTTATTCCTATTTTAGCTTTTTAATTTGCAATTCACAACTTCTTTAGCTTTGAAAGCTATTGAATATTTCACTCTGCCTCAGATGACTTTGTATTTTTAGACAAAATGGAAGCACAGTGTGCTGTAGGTGAAGCCTGTATTATATTGTTTTTTTTTTTCCTTTTTTTTTTTTTTTCCAAGTTATTCCCATGGCATTGTTAAGACTTGTACTGCATTTAGAGAGTCAGTGTTCTCTTTTAGCCTTCCTAGCCTGTGATTAAATGGGAGTTGCTGCCTGTTGTACTATGAGTTGGCTGACAAAAGCTAAATCTGTCACAGGTGCTACAATTTGTATATCAGAAAATTTGCTTTCCAAACACTAATTATTCCCAAAGTATCGTACTTCACACAAAGCACAGATAACGAAGTCAGCAAATTCGTCCCAGTTTTATCATTGTGCTGTAAATTAGTGTCTGTCTTCTGCCATTGTGTAAAGTGAAGATGGTGGAAATTCAAATGCAGTGTAACCCATTGATTTACAGTCTCTGATGTGTGTTTTTTCACTTAATTCTTCCAATCAAAATGCTGGAAATATATGTGATTCTAACACTCATTGCTGAATTTCACTTCTGTATTTGAATGAGCTGATGTTTAGGGATCCAGGAAGGTGGGAAACTAAGTGTTGTTTCTCCAGATGACTGTGAAAAAGAGAAGCATTTTGGGCCTGAACAGAGCAGACCCAACCTGGTCATATGCTTAACCTGTTAATTTCAGAAGTTAATTTAATGTAATGGTAGCTTATCAGGCATTATATTTCTGGTTACCATGGGAGAAGAATGGACTCTCAGTCAGGTGAAACTGTGTCTGAATAAGTGAAAGCATTCAGTTTATAACTCCCTCAGACCTTCAGTTTTGTATGTAGTGAAAATACACTTGTATACCTGTGCAAAAACAGAGTTTGGTTCCGATCACCTCTTTTCCATTGTAGCATTCCACTGTGAAGGTGGAGAACCTTTGTGGTAATCTGTTAAAGCCTGAGTTGTCTGTAGTAGGTATTTTAACATTGATGCATCAGGATTTCCCTAGATAAGAGTTTGTAGTTTTGATGATAGGCTATTGCTCAGTTAAATCTGTTGTAATAAATCTGGCAATCATCAGGGTGGATCTAGAAGGAAAGACATATGAGGAGCAGCTGAAGTCCCCTGGTTTGCTCAGCCCAGAGCAGAGCAGGCTGAGGGCAGGCCTCATGGTGGTTTCCTCACGAGGGGAGCAGAGGGGCAGGTGCTGAGCTCTGCTCTCTGGGGACAGTGACAGGACCCAAGGGAATGGCATGGAGCTGGGACAGGGGAGGGTCAGGCTGGGGGTTAGGGAAAGATTCTGCACTGAGAGGGTGGTCGGGCACTGGGACAGGTTCCCCAGGGTGGTAGTCACAGCACCGAGCCTGCCAGAGTTCAGGAGGCATTTGGACAATGCTCTCAGACACATGGTCTGATTTTTGGGTGATCCTGTGTGGAAGCCAGGAGTTGGATTTGTTGATCCTTGTGTGTCCTTCCAACTCAAGGTATTCTATAATTCCATGATCTGCAAATAATTAATTAAAAAGAATAACCACCACCACCACCTAAGAGTGAAAGGATTCTCTTTACTTGCAGTGTACAGTAGAGGAGGAGTTTGAGTGCATTCATATGAAAATGTAATGAAGCCTTTACAGTTATAAAGATCTACAGATCTCCAAACTTTGGGATCTTTTTATAAGATGTAATACTTTTCTGTAATCACCCTAGGCCAGCTGCACACACACTGGCTCGATGATCCTTGTTGGGTCCCTTCCAATTCAGGTTATTCTGTGATCCTGTGTTTCTATGAAATTATTCACACTAGACACAGAATGTGCTTATTCAAATAGCAAGTGGAACTATGTTTCAGAAGCTTCTCCTCTCACTGTAAGAATTGCCTAGGAATCCATACTGAGATTAGACAATTATTTTAAAAGTATATTCAAAATATTTAGTTTATAGATTAATTTACACAGAAAAAGAAGAACGTTGAATGCTGTAAGTGAAAGTTCTTAGCAATATTTTTTGCATTGTAAACTAGCTTAAGAAACTGTTTATTTACTTCCTTAGGATGAACATATTGTATATTTCTAGATTTCTGACAAATGCAAACATTAATGTGATTTAACTTATACTAGCAATGATTCACAGCTCTAGTTGTTTGGCTTGTGTATAGTAATACTGATTTGTATTTTTATTTTATTTCTGTAGGACTATTTAACCATTCACAAGTATGGCAATGCAGCCAGAAATGATCTCTGGAACACATTGTCAAAGGTAAAGTGCTTTAATCTATTGCACTGAGGGAGAAGCAAGAATTTACTGTAGTGTTTTCTTGGCAAGGTTAGGACTGAATAGAGCATAATGAAATCTTCAGACCCCAGAGCAAATTTAAACAGTAATACAAAGAAATTCCATTTGAGTTAACAGTTGCAACACTGATATGTATATATATATATATATATATATTTTTTTTTTTCTTCTCCCCACTATTTCAGTTCTTTGTTATGTTAGAGTATATTTCCTTGTTTGTGCTATGTGACTGATGTGCAGTAAAAACTATTTTGTGGAATTTGCTATGATTGACTGTGGTGGCAGCAGGCTGAGGCCCATAAGCTAGAAGGCACACAGAAGTGCTCTGCTTTGGCATCTACATCAGGTGTGTTTGTGATTTTGTGTGGAGTTATGATTCATGTGAAGGACAAAACTATTAAATCTTTAAAGTTTGGTCTGAACAGGTAGCTATTACTGTACCGTTTGCAGAGAATAATGGTTTCTGTGTCCATGCTCCCTTTTGTTGCTACAACAAAGTTTGAGTTTGTAGGCCCAGGTCCAGGAATCTGCAAGGGCAGAGTTTAATTTTCAAAAGAGTGAGCCAATAATGCCTGAATTCATTACCTACAGAGCTAGTCTGGGCACATCAGAATAGAGACAAAGTATAAGCCAATGTAGAGGACAGTAAGGGAGTTTCAGCACAATTACCAGCTCAAGCCATATGTAAACATGGCAATCTAATTGTAATCATTGACACCAAGGCTGGGATTCAGCTGGAGGTCAAGACATATGTGTTTATATAGATAAGTAGGTATCTGTGTATAAGCTCCGGTTCAGTTGGCCTGGATTCAGTTACGTGTTCATAGATGTATAATAACATCCGCCTTAAGGTGTTGTACCAGACTTCCAGCTACAACATGAGATATTTGTGTCTGCTGTAGCTCCACCAGCTCTGTGAGGATGTGTTGAATATTGCAGGACAACTGACGCTTGCTGGATAGGAGCAACTGGAGTCCCAAAATGTAGTCAATATAGTCAGCAGAGTATAGAGAGTAATCCAATTGACTAGCCACTAGATGATAAGCCTCAACCATCAGCTGCCTTAAGATGAGCCCAAACCACTGACTGTCGACTAGGGACTTGGGATAGTCATTCAAATATAGGCAGCTAGTGCCAGTTTAGGTGCTGTAGGGTGTTTTAGATATCCAGTTAGGGGCAGTAGAATTGATCTAAGTTTTGTGGGAAAATCTGTGCCCTGCTGGAGTAGCAGGTCAGGATCAAAGGACATTATCTGCTTATGAGTGGGCAAGTGAACTGAACCTTATGTTTGTACTGACATAAGAGTTGAGATGTGCAATATTCATTTAGGCTCTTAAATCTCTGGCTTAATTTGAAGTTGAATGTTCACTGCAAAAGTCTTTCTTACTTCTTGCTTCTCACCTGGTAGCCTTCTCTGTTAAAGCCTTTGTAGTAGGGCTTGGCTATGGGAAGAGAGAGGGATCAACACACTCTTGAAAGAACAGCAGAACCCACAGCTAATAAAATGAAAATGAGACTTCATTCTGGGTCATAAACACTAGGTCTATACTGTATACTCAAATACATTGTTAAGGCTAATAATTCTGTTTTCCTCACCTGTAAGCACATGTGTTGCCTGCCGCTTTGCTCCTAATGCATTGTGATTGCTGCTTCAGTTCTGAAGACTTCTTGCTGGGTTCTGCTTGTATTCATCAGAGGTTCATTCATCTGTGATCTAGGGCTGTTCAGCAGCTAGACACATTTCTGTTGCTGAATAGCAAATGATGTCTGTCATTCTCATATCCAGTCTCATCTCCCATGAAGCCATAGATTCTTTTTTTGTTTCAGATGAAATTCCACCTGTAAACCAGTCTTTTATTGACATACTGTGTCAAATACGGACACATTAATCCTACAGTGTTGTGACGTGTAGTTTTTGAAGGAGCTGGGGATATCATTGTATACATGGTCTCACTTTAGGCACAAGGGACAGTATTTTCAAATAACCAGACATTTGATTTTCAGAACAAAGAAGCTCTGTACTTTCAGAAATCAGGCCCTTTGAACATAACGTGCCTTATTGCAGGTACCCTAAATCAACTAACACTGTTGACTTTTTTTTTTTTTTTTTTTTTTTAACATTTGCTGGACAAGAATACCTTTTGGAAACAACCACACAGTATTTCTGTGACACTTGTAAAGACCCTGCAAAACAGGTTGTTTCTTCCTTTACAATGAAAATGCTTGAATGATTTGGAAAACCTGACTTCATGGCTTGTGTCTCTGGCAAGATTGCTTAATGTTTGTTTTTAAGATACGCAGAGACTGTTGGTGTAATTATGTAGTATGTGTGTATACACCAGGTGTAAAAATGGTTGTGTGTACATGCTTGATAGTTATTGAAACCTCTAAAACAAATTACACTCTTCTGGGATAAAAAAAATAAAATGTTTTACTTGTTGGATTGTGACATTGCTTCAACGTACTAAAACTTTTCTTTTTTCTTGAAGGCTTTAAAAAGGGTTGGAAAATCTGTAAATATCCAAGAAGTAATGGATCAGTGGACACTACAGATGGGTTATCCTGTTATCACTATCTTGGGAAATGAAACTACGGACAATGTCATAGTAATCTCCCAAGAGCGTTTTGTTTATGATAGTGATGCTAAAACCAAGGATCCTGACTTTGGAGACAACAGGTACTTACATTTCTCAATGAATATCTTTCAAGAGGCTGTAGCTGTTAAGTGCTTCATGTGTGTATTTTTATGGTTTCTGCCTCTGTAGAACCAGTAGCATGTGGTGACCCTTCCATTTGAATGTTAGTAAAGATTAAGCAAGTTAAAAGAACAAAATCATTAGAGTAATAGAACTAGATAAAGCTTTAGTATGCCCATTTGCACTGTGGCACCTTTCTCTCTGACTTTTATGCAGTCTTATGTCATGCATCTGTTTCCTCTTCGTTTCTTTTGATTTTGGCACACTCCATGAAGTAACTTGCAATGGGGTTGAGAGGTCTGATAGTTTAAGTGATTATTTGGAGTGGACCTCTCCATGCTCATACGTTAAATTGGCAGATGTAACCATGTATCAGATAAATCACTTGACTTGGGAAGCAGTCGAGATCTGAACTGGACCCCTGTATGAGGCAGGGGGTTCTAGTAGTTCCATTTTGAAGCTAGCTGAAATGGTCCTGTAGGAACTGTTCCACTGACTGAAATCAGTAGGCACTTACACACCTCTGGCCCCATTCTTTTTCCACTTCTATATCAATTCCTTGCCACTCACACCTGACTCCGTACAATTTCTTTGTCCCAGAGACAAGTTGAGATTCCTCACTGATGCTGGGGAATCCTCACCTTGTTTAAAGCAGTTTTGATGTCATATTATAAGACCAAACACATAGAGCTGATTTTAGAGAATTACAGTTCAGCCTTAGAAGCTTCAGTGTTCACACCTCTTGCTTACTGGGAAAGAAGGCATGCTCTTAACCTTGACTTCTTCATGTTTGTAGCATAGATTTAAAACATTAAAATGTAAAATTTAGTACTGGATTTGGATTGACACATCTAAAGTTCATAGAATATTCCTATTGAGGAATGCCTAAAAATATAATTAAGTTTATTGGTAAATGTTTATAAATTAGTTATTGTTTTTTAGAACATGAATATTATAGAACTCAAAAATGACACAGCAAATTGTTTTCCTGGCTGTACTGGAACAACCTGGTATGGTATTAAGCATAGGTTTAAATCCTGGGCTGAAGTAAGTTCCTTTGTGAATGGAATATAAAACAAGTGACTGTGGACTGCTGGAAATGTTCATGACTCACAGTTTAGTGCAGTGTAAGAGTAATTCTTTCTTATTCACTTAAAAATTTCTTTTGTGCACCTGTATATACCCATATAAAATACAAATGGATTTTACTACTCTGTAAAAGAAGGATTACTGGTTTTTGATTGCTTAAAACAGAGACATTAAGACTTAGAAGTAGTGTGGAGACTTTCTCAAATAGATTTGCCAGGTATTCAGTATTGATTGCAGTAACAACTACTGTAATTCATAAGTCAAGACTTCTGGGTGTGAATTGTTTTGTAAAGTGGAATATTAGGGGTGAGAAGTAGACTCTTAATAGTTTATTTTCATATGTGAATTACAGAATTACAACTGTTCCTGCAGATCATGGAATCATAGAATGTCTCAGGTTGGAAGGGACCTTAAAGACCACCTGGTTCCATCCCCCTGCCATGGGCAGGGATGCCACCCATTAGATCAGGTTGCTCAGGCTCTCATCCAACTTGGTCCTGAACACCTCCAGGGATGGGGCATTCATAGCTTCTCTGCGCAACCTGTTCCACTGCCTTACCACCATCAGCGGGAAAAATTTCCTCCTAGCCTGTAATCTAAATCTCCCGTCTTTTAGTTTAAAACCATTCCCACTTGTCCTGCCATTATCTGCCTAAGCAAAAAGTTGCCCTCCATCTGTGGATATGTGGAAGGATAGTGTTCTGCACCAACAGGTCAAGGTACACTCGCTTTCTTAGGAAATTTTGCCTACAAATTGTATTACAATGATAAGTTCTAAACATTGGAAGTGAGATTTAGTGCTATATAGAGAACAGAAAAAGATATCAGAATTGGCTCTACTGAGAGTTTACTGTCCAAGTAGACAATACAATACATAAGTGTTTCTCCTCTGGCAAGTGTATTTCCTGCTCTCTTCCCCCTTTTGTTTTTCTTTGTGCTTCCATGATGTTTTCACCACAAATAAGGGAATCTGCTTGCTTAAGGAAGGCTTTGCAGGTGGGAAGTTTGCTATAGCCAGTTAGATGATGGAGCTAGTTTGCTACTTTCCAGTTAGTTATTTGAAAGTTGTGTTAAATAAGTATAAATACCAAAGAGCAGGAGCTGTACACTCTTAGGAAAAGGTGAAACTTGCCTATGTTTTTCACCTTTCACAAGTAACCCACCAACTTATATTACAGTCCTATGGCTTAGATATAAATTACAGTCTAGGGTGTTAGAACAATGAGCATGCCTTTTGTTGGTGCACTGCCCACAGGCACATGTAGCTTTATATGCACAATGGCTTTGTGTCATTAAATGTCCTTTCCTACCATCAAATTAAGTAGAAAAACAAGATTGACACACTGAAAACGAATGTAATCTTTTTGTCACAAATAGCTTTTTTCTTTTTTTTTCTTTCCTTTTTCCTTTTCCTTTTTTCTTTTTTCTTTTTTCTTTTTTTTTTTCTTTTTGTTTCTCTTTTCTTTTCTTTTTTTTTTTTTTTTTGTATGTTTGTTTTCTTATTGCCTTTTTCTCATTGAAAAAGTCACCATTGCTTCAATTCCTGTGAAAATATTAGACAGGGAAAGTCACATTAATGGGATGCCATTTGATAATTCATGATCGATTACTCCACTTGGTTTTTAACACTGAAAGAGCCAGAGTTTATGTGACATGATAAAAGGGGCCAGTTTTTCTACAAGTACACAAAGTGGGGCACTAACTGGTATTGAAACAAGACTTTGATGGATGCTCAGTGCAGCATTCTGGACAGGAAGCTGGGGGTTCAGTGGGGCTGAATAACACTGGTGGGAGGCACAGAGGCTGCAGGCTTCTGGGGTGCTAAGTATCAGTGGTGTAATTCACAGTCCAGTAGAGTCGGTGTTCATTTCCTCTGAGTGACCTGTGAATTTGGCCTGAAGATGCATGACTCCCTGGGGAGCTGTAGCCAGCACTGCAAGCAGAAAGGAGCAAACGGCATTTATGCCACATATGGGGTCCTGCTTTTGCAGGGAAAGTGACATTAGCTTCCTTAGGATAGTTTATCTCTGGATTAATCATGGTTATAGTTTTAAACACTGTAAATAGTAGAGCTGACACAACAAATGTATGTGTCCAGGCCTTTCCAGGAGTTTATCATCTACACAGACACCATGATATGCACTGGAAGGCTCAGGGAAATGAGGAAGGGCTCTGTGTGCATCTGCCACACAATCATCTGTTATCCAGAGGTGGGGCTGTAGTTTAGCATTGCACAGCAATATATGTCAGTACTGTTACCTCAAAGTGATGAGAAGTTAAAGCTGCTGTTCAGGTCCTGTCTAGGGATATTTAACTTTGCTTTCCTTTAGAAAGTCAGTTTACAGTAGATATTTCAGATGGATCTGCATAAGGAATGGAAATAAAGAGGGAAACAAACATTTCAGAATCATTCGACTTTTATAAAATCTCTTTGCTTTTCTGTATGCTATATAATTATGAAGCAATTAACTGTTAAAAATGAAATGCAAAGTAGTGCATTTCATTTTTTTCTTGAAAATCAGCAACAAGCAGATTTTTCTGAGTGACAAATGGTTAAAGTAAAAACTGTTGACAAGTTTGACAGTGGTTTACTCCTAATCTATTACTATAAATGACTTTAATTTTACTGCAAAAGAGAATTATTACATATACATTCTCCCACTTCATGTACAATTGGACTCATTGTCACCCCATAACTGCAGAAAAATATGTTACAAGGTCCATGTGTACATATCTATTTTGATTTATTTGTGTGCATAGAATTGACTGTATGGCATTTCAAGCTCTAAGGCTTGGCCTGGAATTACAGAAGGCATACTGTTTCACTTCTTTGCAAACTGCACATAGATTTTTCTTGATGCTCATGCCTTTACATGATCCATACTTCTCATTTATGAGAGAATAAAGCTAACAATGACAGACATCGTTTCTAGGAATGCCGTTCCTCAGAAGGGCCAAAATCACTGGGCTTTGATTTAAATGTCAAAGCCTGCGGTCGGTATAATGATTCAGTAGCAATTTCAGCTTATCCAAGCTGAAGTTTAAGCTGCTATAACAACTTTGTAGTTCATATTCTACTTCTGAGTAGCAATCCTTTAGTTATGTGTAGGTTCAATCCTGCACTCATGTACACCTCTCTGAGAATGCATTATGCTCTTACATCACATAAGGCTAGAGGGGATGAGGTGAAATTCCATCTGACAGGGTTCAGTGGGTTTCCCTCCTGACAGAGAAAATGATGATTTTAAGGCACCAGTCTCATCCATCATTACAGGAATGGCTCAAAGATATGACAAGAAATCTTATGAAAAATAATCTGTGGTCTAGACAATGAACTAATCAGTTTTGATGAAATCCATAAACCATTTATATGCTGTATTGAAGAGCAGACCAAAGCTTTCTGGTTATGGATATAAGTTTTGCCTTTTAAAAATATGCAGAGCCTGTCTCTTCAAAAGTGGAGAAATAACTTTTCCAATATTATCAGAATAATTAAGTTCATGTTGCTGAGGTAATATTAACTTGTATAGGGTTCTTATCATGCACACAGCTTCTGTAGCCAATCTTTGCTTGTTCGTGATAAGATCCTAAAGGGAAATGTCTTGCTAGGCACTGAACAGAGCTAGCTGTGAGAAAAGAGAAAAAGGGAAAGGTACAAACTGGGATACGGCTAGGGTATTCATACGTGCTGGAGCATGGTAATCCTTGGTACCTTTCTCCATGTGGTTGGAAAAAGTAAAATTCAGTGGAATGGTGCAAGACAGGGACATGACCAACAAAACTAGAGCTGTATAGACTCATGAGTGTAGTAGTAGCATGTAGTAACAACAACAGCTGAAAGGCTTTACAAATGACAGCAGAGCTGCTTAGCAGTCACTCCACTTCAAGATGA